TTTGGCTTGCTTTCTGCTGTTACAATATCACAATATAGAGATACCAAATTGTAAATAAACAGTCTTTAGCGCAAAGTCCCTCGTCTTCTGCCGTTACAGTTCCACCTATATACAAGATGCATATGCAAAAATATTAAAACAGTTGACTATTTTGCTTTTCGTTTCCCAACTCTTTTCAGTGTAAAGTTCAGAAGAATTAATTTGAACATAAGACCGTCTCATTTAGACTCAATTGTGTTTATTCATGTACTACTTATGGTTGAAGAGGTACACACCCTGAAAGAATGGAATGTACCCTTACTAAAAAGTAACCTCAAAACTTCAACCTGCCTGGAGGTGCCTTTTAGTGCACAGATCATTGATAAGGGGTTATGCCAACGGTTCAAATACAGCCGCCTTCCAAGTGATCGATAAACAGTGTTACTGTAAATTCCACCATGACGTGGCAATATCAGCAAAAACACCATTGTACAACTGTTTCCTTCCAGTTTTAGACTTCTCAGCAGTGCACACTGACGACGATCCAATCAGTACCACTGGATCCCAACCAATTGGCTGAATAGTTAAAAACGTCATCTCGATACCTGAAGGTACTAGGTGCTGCTAGACTCCGAATGATTCTCTCTCTAACCAATTTTGGTTCATAAAGAAATCAATATTTAGTTCTCGTAGAGATTAGATTTGTTTCAAGTTTCATCATTAGCTGACATTAGTTAGAGAACCATTAGAAAAGTAGGGATTACTGAACAACTGTTTCGTCCTAGTTTGGGACACTTCAGTCATGACCACTCGTCATGGCTCGAACCTAAAACCCTCAAGGATACAAGGCAACTTCATAGACAATTCAGTCACTGGGACCCAACTTCTACTAATTAGTGATTATGGCGCGCGATGGGTTTCTACAGAAAACGCATAATCTAAATATCGATCTCCCGCTAACTGACACCTAGTGGATAGATACTATGATGTTGTGGCCAATGTCAAGGTGAAGTGGATATTCATTACTGACATTTGTTGACAGTAGTGGGTCACTGAATTCCAGCTCAAGCACCTGATACGTCAACGAGGTGACCTCATAACCTGAAGGTCCTAAGTTCGACAATTGGTGAGTTCATGAGTGTGTGCAATGCTGAACAGACTCAAACTACGGTGAAACACCTGCCTGACCTACCTCTAGTGCTTCCTACTTTTCAATGGTTCTCTAACTGATGTTGAATTGTGACGAAACTTTCATCAAAACTATTATTTATTGTTGTAGTGCTATTCAGCTGGTGGTGGAATCAAGGAAACGCGTTCAGTCCCACATATGGGACTCGTTGATTGGATTCAGTTATACACCCCTAGTGACTGACAATGTTCCCCCGATGAGACTCGAACTCAATAAACCATCGTTTCAAACGTCAGTCACTGGATTCCATCAGCCATAAATTATGCAAACGGTATTTCAGATTTCCCATTGACTGATTTCATTGGAATCAAATATTCAGTGATTGTTGACATGTCACAGCAGCTCCTAGTACAAATGCTTCAACGATGTCTTCAGATAGACATGTTATATTCTGTCGGTGGAAGATAACATTGGAATTTAGGATACGCTTTTCATCCTCTTAGGAAACTTATCAGCTGGGAGTAGTACCTGAGTTCTCCCAATGAGTGATGATATTCATCCTGAGACTCGAGCCCAGGACCTATCGTTTGCAATCTCCTCTTATTCCATTCCCTAACGATGTCATAAAATATTATTTGCACTTAGTCAAGTGACTTGAATTCATCATATCAGTATTTTTTAATGCTTAGCTTATCATCTCACACCGAAGAGAACAATCCAAAGCACATTGAATGCTAACATTAATTAGTCACTAGGCAGGTAGCAACCAGTGTAACACAAAATGGATTCAACCCGTCAATTTTGCGATATTGATTCCAAGCTAGATGACTCACTGACGTCGCGGTAACCTCTGAGTTGATGTTTTATATTTAGAGGTAATCGACAGAAAGTCTTCCCGGGACCCACATTTCGTGATTGTTGGAAATCACTCGTCAGCAAGGCGTATAATTTACCTCGAAGAGACCAATATCACCGAGCACTGCAATCATAGACACCAGGACTGATTGATTCGAGCTCACAACCGACCCCCTGCGGGACTGCAATAGATACACTGACTACTCACCACGACGCGGTAACCAATATCATGAGTTTAGACCTTGATGTTTGCAGACACATCTTGATGACGAGTACAAGCTAGCTAAGAGCTCATGTTGCAAATTTAGTCATATTTACCGGTGTCCAACAATTGCTATATATCTCTTGACCTGAAGGAAGGGCTCGACTCCGTCGACCAAGAGGTACGATAGCAATATGTCTGGCCGCGAAGGAAGTGCTGAGAAAGTATACTGCACTAACCAAGGCACTCTACTCGAATTCATGAAGGCGTGTAAGAGCTTACAGAGAGTTGCATTCTGAAGTGATGACAACCAGTGGGGTCCGTTAGGGATAAACCCACATACCTATTTTCTATCATAGATATTCTAATGGAATTGACCCTAACTGACTTTGGCAACTTAAAGATTGACTCATTACCAGGGAATAATCTCGTTGACTTAGAATATACAGATGATATAGTCCTCCTTGTCAGGTGAAGACGCTGACAAAATACAGCGGAGTCATTTGAACACCTTGAGCAACAATCTTCGAATGTTTGGCATACGATTCGCTCCTGTCAAATGTAAGACAATGGTACACGACTGGGATACATCGACTCACTCCTAGCTTAGAGGTAGGCAGAGGTGAAGTGGTAGCTGAGCATGTTGACCATCACTTCACTTATTCGGGAAGTTGCACCAGACCCAGTGAGTTGATACCCTACGAATTCTTAGCATGGATGCGGAAGGCTCGTTTGGAATTTGACAAATTACACCATCTCCTGCTTTAGTATAAGTGATATCCAGCTGGCTGTCGACCAAACGACGTGTGTACTGCTCACACCACTTCGCTCCGTCCGTCTTTGTATGACTATGAGACATGGCCATTGGAAGACATGGAAAGCCTGGCTAACTGGCTGTTTTTCATCATAGGTGTCTCCATCCTATTTACCGCGTTAAGTGTAATCGGGTGAGTGCTAGGCATGGACGGAGGGGAAATCTACACGCCTAGCCATTGCCTTCCTCGACAGGACATATCACCTGACATAGATAGGATCAGGTTGGGAAAGAACTAGTTGTGGTCAAAACAACACATGGCTTCATCAGTCAATGAAATCCATAGCAGTTAGTTTATGCCAGCCAGTCACGTAAAGAGGTGTATACTACCTGACTGATTGAGGTATCCGGGATCCTACAAACTAATCGCTGGAGACATTTAGTGATACGGCTGGAGCATATGGATTCATTTCCTGCAATGATTGGTCATATCCAATTAAACTCTGTTGTTCTTTCATACTATTACTCTTCTTTTTCCCTCACTCACGCTGCTGTTTATTATCTCTGTCTACTCCCAACGCTTGCTTTGTGTGGTAGATGGAGGGAGTGTAGCAAGTGAAACTAATGCATATCTGTGCAAAGCTCTCCGTGTTGAAACCAGTCAGTCAAACTTTACTGATAGAATTTAGTGTGCCTACCAAACCCACAGACTAGACACCTTAGCGATCAATCAATATATGATATTAAAATCTTACAGGAGGTCAATCGTAAGGTTGACTATGTAAGTCACAACACGTCGGACTGGGTGATGCGTACTCGAATCTCCGAAAGGACACAAGTTCTTTTATCTTTTGGGACTTTCAACCCGTACGCAACCCCGAGTATACGAGTGATTATTAAACCAAAGAGTCACAGATTACGAATCTGGCAGCCCCAGTGTATACCAGACCATTCACAACTATTAGAACTTACTCTTATATAATTCACCCACCCACTCGCCGGGAAAATCGATGCTGGCTAACCACACAACTATACCCCAAAAAGGCTGAAATCGACACGTGAAATGAAGCAATACTCTTTGATAAGAAAATTGAAAATTCGTGTATTACATTCTTAGTGAGCTGACATTAATATTTGTAGTAATAATAATAGTAATAGTTAATAATAAGTAATAATAGTAGTAGTAGTAATTTCGTAACAGGGAAAAAAAGATTTCTCTTCAAATATATGTATACATATATATAAACTTGTGCAAAAAATGTTTCTTTTTATTCCACAGAAAGCGAAATAAATAAAAAACAAGAACACTGACAGCAACAACAACAAACAACATCAATGCCAACGTTAACATAACGAAACGATTTTCTAAATATTGTGACTTACACACTTATCATCAGAGGGGGGGTAGAGAGAGACAATACATACAATAATAGCACCAATCAATCTATAGATCCAGTCATCATACCATAATGCGTATCGACCGACTGACGCACTGATACATAACGAGGCGTACACACGCACACAGAGACAGTCAGTTTGTGAGGTCTGTCTGCACGCACCTATACACCACACACCGCACGCACCAGAGTGCAGTTGACGACGACAACAACTGGTGGAATGAAATTTTTGAAAAAAAAGCCAACTAATGAGGAGTGTATGGAAGAAATGACGGAAGCAGTGGTGGAGCGGAGAGCAAGGAAGAAAAAAAGAAATACAAACAATGCAAAACGATTTCAAGATAAACTGTGAGTAGGAGAGTGAATCAGCGAGTGAGTGAATGAGTAGTAGCGGGTATGGAACGCGTACACGTACAGGTATGGCCCAGTAATTTCTGTCAGTCAAATGTATGAATGTATGTATGTATAGAGAATGCCAACACATTCGTAGACAGGTGGACGAAGTGGTGAGTGAGGGGTCGTCGTCGTCACAGGAGGACCAAGGGAGGGAGGGAGGGAGGCGGCAAAGAAAGTAAACTGTTCAACAACAGAAAGCCAAGTTCAAAATCAATTCTGATGATACAAAAATGAAAAATATACCATGCGTCGTAACATTTACACGTGAGAAGAAAATAAAAGAAGAAAAATAATAATAATAATGATAATTAATAATTCACAGATGATAAACTGAGAAGAAGACATTTCTGCTGCACACAAGACAAAAAATACCTGAAAAAGAGATTAGGACTACTAGTCATAGAAGTTGTAGTGTAGTGTATTGTATTGTAGTTAGCACTCACTTACTTACTCACCTACCAACTTACTATCCACATATCCACATTAATAATCACCAGCGCTCAAACAGTTTATTATCATCACCATCATCGTGTTCACTGCATATCACAGACCAATCTCTCTCTCTAACTAAACAAAGTGTGATTAACCACTAACCAATCAAGAAGACATGAAATAATAAGCGCATCATGATAAATATCAACCAGATGTAGGGTGCCCCCGATGGCGGGGCGCAGCACACATGGAGAATAATATGTATAGAGAAAAGAAAGGAAGGCAATAAAGAGGGGTACATTGTTTGTATGTGTGTGTGTGTATATTGTTCATAGATGCATGCTGGTGGTGGTGGAGGATTGTTTTTAAAAACATTTTCCGGAGCACAGAGGGAGGGGGATAATTTATACAAAAGTGGAATAATAATAATAATACTAATAATAATAATAATTGCAAAGAAAGAGAAAATAGTAATAATTTTTGTTCGGTTCGGCTACCAATTCTGTACTACACTTCACTGGTGAATAGAATAGGTGAATATGTCAGCGTGACTTTACACACACTTGTCATCAACACTGTACGAATCATTGACAACATATAGGCAGTAAGAGAGGTGTGTGTAGAAAGGGATATACAGTTTATTCTGAAGGCACATACATACATACGTACACACATATATGTACGAGAATCATCGCCCAGCAACCCTCCCCCGCCACCACCCCTAACCAAACATCTTTATCTACTAACACAAACCACTACCACTCATGGAACAGTCATATTTATATGTGTGTTATATATTCCGCGAAAACTGACTGTGTGTCATTTAGAAAATGCAATAATAAAGTAAGCAGAATCAAAGAATACTACTAAATACTACTACTACTACTAGTACTACTATTTATTAATAAGAAATTAAATTGTTAATTTTTGTAGATTAACAACACAATTGGCGAGAATTGATTGCCGCCGGCATGTTGTCTTCGCAAATGCGACAAAAACAAGAAAGTATGCACACACCAATACACGCACACCAACACACTGATTGATACTTCAGTGTGATTAGGGGGGGACATACGCGAAAGTACCATGAGCGCCAAGTAAGTGTACAGTCCTTTTTTAGACATGCATATTTGTCTGCATATATCGAGGAGACAGAGAGAGAAAACAAAAGGCCAGTCTGTGGAAATGATGAAAAATCTCAAGGTACAAGAGTACAAGAGAGAGAGACAGACAGAGACGGGGGGGGGAGAGAATCAAAAGAGGTTAGAGAAGTTGGCAATCGTTGAGTGAGTGAGTACGCGCGTGTCAAAGAAATGACAATACGCGAGAGTGTGCGCCCACACGTAAACAAATTAGAAAAAATTATTGTTTCGACTTTTTACAAGATTTTGAATATAACCCCGATGATGATGATGATGATGACGATGATGGTGGTGGGGGGAGTGAACGTTTCCGTGGAACAACAACAACACCTGATCGATGATGATGATGATTATCATATTGTGTTGATGTTGACGTCGATGCAATTGTAGATAAAGGTTGATTGCCTGAGGGAAGAGGTGTGATAGTAGTAGTAGTAGTAGGGGTGGGAGTAGACAACGACGATGATGACGACGACAGAGATTGATGATCATTATGATTTCTAGTTGGATAAATTTTCTCTTGACAAGTTTGTTTCACTGGACGACGACAAACACTATCACGAACATCATCAACAACGTCGTCAGGAATAGTAGATAAAGTTGCCTTCCTTTTAAAATGTGCTGGTACTAATGCTACTGGAATATATGCAGCAGGCGGTTTAACCACTACTGATTTGCCTTCCTCCTCTTGTGATAATAATAACCGTTGCCATGGAAGTTTATAACTCTTATTATTATCAGAACTAGAGTTATCCTTAGAAGAATATACCTTCGTCTTTGACGTTGAGGCGATAAAGGCGTTAGTAGTAGTAGTAGTAGTGGGGGTAGGTAGTTTCTCCTTCAAAACATACTTCATTGTATTAGGATCATTCGATGGATGTGTTGTCAATACCATGTTACTTGTATAAGGCCAATTAATGTATGATTTAGGCTTATGCGGAGTAAAATGACTTAGATTATCATCACCTCCAGGAGGAGGAGGAGGATGTATGTCGCCGCTTTGACTGCTGTCAGCCATCTCATTTACAGACGATGTTGGTGTTGTTGTTATTGTCGATAATGACAATGAGGAATGTACATTTCTACACTGAACATGCAAATGTATACCGTGTCGTTGAAATTTACAAATTGATAATGATGCGATTGATTGATATTCTGATAATAATTCATATAATTGATCAGCTTTAAGAGATCGACGTGGTTCACCACTATATCCAAGTAAAGAACAGCATACTTCATGTACCCATGGGATATCTGTAACTAAATCCCAACCTTGACCTATAAAAAAGAGAGGAAAATGTAAAACAAAAAGAATCTCTCATTAGTGTTAGACCTTACAGACCACCTTACTACACCTACGGTAGTAACTGCACACACACACAAACACACACACGCTTGTAAACATATAGAGACAATCTGGTTAGTTGTCTGATGATAACATGTGAAGTCAAATGCACTAACTATTCAGTTTGAGAAGAGTCTGTTTAAAAATATTTTGAAACGAAATACAATTGCAACAAAAAAGATGAAAATGGTTCGATGAAAACCGCATAGACCAGACTGTGTTTGGCTTTCTGTGAGTCAATGGCACAGTGGCTAGGATTCTCGCCAACCATGCACATGGTCCGGGGTTCGATCCCCTGCCGACGCACATCTGATAACAATGGTCGGCCTACAAAATTTGGGCTACCGATATCACATGCTGAAAATTCCATACTTGTATCAAAAATACTGTGTGGTTTCAAGCTATAATCAAAATATAAATAAATAAAAAAATAATAATAATTAAAAGTTGCTAATGATTCCCAGCTGAACAGGTTTTTCAAGCCTTTGCGTCGTCCCGAGTGGACAAAGATAGGGCTTTGAAGTAGTTGTAGTCCTTTTTTACGAAGTGGGATTCCTAACGCCACGACGCGCAACCTTCCCACTTTTCCGGCCATATATACTACTACTTACTGGTTAGGGGAGGTTTAGGAGTATATATCAGGTGGGGGAATGGAATCCAGACGACGTGTTTGCTTTGTGAGCACTCCCTCTACCACTCACTCACTGACTGAACCATCCAAACACAGTATTCCATAGTTTAAGAGGTTAGGTTAAATGGAAAACCAATTAGCGTTGATTGAGATAATCTATAGACCAAATCTACCAACTAATAAAAAGTAAATCATGTGACGAAAAAATTTCAAATCCAAGTCAGTAGATAGAATGACCAATACATACGTAAAGATGGTTACCGGGAGACGCAATTCTATCAGTCATGGAGAATTTAAATCAGTTCACTTAATGCTAAAACTCGCGCTCCACAATTAAATCGCCAACCCACTGTGAGAACACTACTAATTGTACATTATTACACCGAACGATAATGGTCAAAAAACAACGAAAAACATGCATTTAATTCAAATTCTTTTGGGTCTTCTCATAAAATAAAGCGAATCAATCTCATGTTTACTGTTAAGCTATGTGATTGAGTAAACTAGTCTGTTTATGTGTAGCATAAGCATTAAAAAATCAGACATACCGTATCTACGACGTGTTTGCACCGTATTCTTCAGCACCTCCGTTGGTTTAGGATACACGGGAAACAGATCACGACGGATAGCCATGCTAAAAAAACATCATTATTAAGACAAAAAATAAATTTTAAAAAATGTTTTACACTATCAATGAAAGGCGGTAAGTAAAGTAAATTAACTTATATGCTTGTCATAAACAAGTCTTGACCAGCGGTGTCCAGTCAGTCCATAAGGTTAAGAGTGATTGCAGTATATACCCGCCAACATTGGCTGCTAAAAGTTAGGAATTCATGAAATATTATTGGATTCCGACCCAGTCATTGTATTGTCAATGAGCTCTTCTTGTACCCAAGAAGATCCTAGGTATAATTCCTAGGGGGAACTATTGGTGAGTGCTGCTGATGAGGAGTCTCAAACAAGGACGAAACAGCTATCTAGTTATTCACGCACTTTTTGGTATTTAGGGGCTCTCTTTAAACAAACTCAGTTCGTGATCAAACTAAAAAATACACCCACGACAACCTTTGGTAACCTGTTCAAGTTGAACAGTTTAGTGCTAGAGCCACTGAGTTTGACATACACGCGAGTTGGAATCTCTCAGATATCATCAGTATGCCTTGCTGGCAGGTATCAAAATTTGTGAATATCTAGGTCCAGTTGTTATCGGTTAGGCAGTACAATCACCAAAAGCATGTGCTACTACTACTCAGCAGGTGGTGATTAAACTCTGACAAAGTGGTTTTGATAGAATCTCGTCGAAGGCAATGAGGATTAAACCACACATACACACTATGGACTTCTGATCCTCTAAGAAGCTGATTAATACAATCATTATGTTTATTGCCTGTAATTACCTTAACACACTAACTGATGTAACTGTAACTTCGACGAGGCTGTGAAGTTACAACGACTGAGATGGTTAGGATGTGTTACGCATGCATCGCTAGGCATTGCCTTCCTCGACAGGTAATGTTAGCTACATAGGGTCAGACTGGAAAAGAGCTAGCGGTGATCAAACCAAAACATGACTTCATCAGTCAATGAAATCCACAACAGTTAGTTTAAGCCATGTAGGAAGGTGTAGACTTCCTGACTGGTTGGGGTCCTCGGGACAGTAAAAACCAATGGTTGGAAACAATTGGTGACATGGCTCAAAATCCTCGTTCTCAATGGCTAGTGCAGATGCATCCACTCCTTGTGACTTATAATTTTCAATGAAACTATATTGTTCTTCGTTATTTCTATTCCTTTCTCTCACACCTCTGTTTACGGTCTCTATTATGCATTTCTTCTACTTTTTTTCTCTTCCTTTGTGTGCTACATGGAAGGAGTGCGGCGACTTGAACTGCTGCACATCGATGCAAAGTTCTATGTCGAAAACGGACAGACAAACAGACACTAACTGCAGTCTTAATGAACAGAACACGACTGACAAAATCTATCACCGTTTTTTAAAACATTTTGCCAAACATTGTCACACATTTTAGCCACCCTAAACTATCTCATCGGTTAATGAATGGCTGAGGAATATGACTGCGAATGTGATAGACTATATATATATATATATATATATATATATATATATATATATATATATATATATGAGAGCACTTCTCTCGACTATACACACACACATACATGCATCCTGTAGAGTTCTGTTGTTGTTCAAAATGAAGTGGAAACATATAGTGATTAAAACTCAGCTGATAGAAGCTCCAGCAGAGGAATTCACGGGGCGTATATTTGACAACTCCCCCGACGAGCATCACTAGCTGATATAGGTGCAAGTTGGAAAGGAGTAAGTGGTGGCCAAACAAAACCATGGCATCAATCAATCCATGAAATCCTTGACAGTTAAAGTGAGTCAGGTAGGGAAGGAGATGCAGACTTCCGGGTTGGGGCCCGCCCTCGGGACTCTAAGAATCACTGGCTGGAGACAATAGGTGACATGGCTCAAAATCGTTGTCATTGGCTTACGCAGATGTATTCAGTCTCTGTAATCTTTCATATTCCTTTCTACCATTACTCATTGTTTCACTCCTATATACTTGTCAAAACTCTATTGATTCTCTTCATTCATTTTCTTGTCTACCTTTGTGTGCTATTTGGAATGTGGCAACTCGAACTGCTGCACATCGGTGCCAAGTTCTATGTTGAATCCATCCATCCAGCCAGCCACGCGAGACGCCTACTAAATGAAAGTGTTCCCTCATTGTGAACCTCAAACCCAGTACAAATCGTTTCAACTGTAAACAAAGATTCAACAATACAATTCAGTTGACAGGTGAAGCTTCACTGAACCGGGTGCTGTGCTGCGCCACAGTCTTCACAGCATGCTGTTGCTGACAGCCAATAAACTAGAATACGGTCACAAGGACGCAGGTGAACTATTCATGTATGTCCATTGTAGTATCACACACATATGACAATTTTTGTTCATTGCCAATCTTGTAAATTATTTGCAAGGAAGTGTGTGTGTGTGTGTAATTAACCTGAACTGACAAACTTCAAATAACGTTCAAATAACGAAAAAAGAGTAGAGGAATATTAGAAGAAAACAAAAAAAGGTGATGAAAACATACTCAGAGAATGTGATCACATCTCTAAACAGTTGATCAAATGTTGAATGAGACTCTTCCATAGCACGTTCACTTTCATTCATCTTATAATCGTGTGAAATAAAAATATGAGCATGTTGACAATAATCCCATAGGGCACGTTCTACATCGAGATTATACTGTCCAAATGGTCTAATACAAAAAAGAGACAAGAAATAATACAGGAGAAAGTGTGATTAGGAAAATCTTGATTTAAAAATCAATCAAAATTAAAAAGATGTTCGGGCAAAGTTAGAGTATCATAACCACAGCCAAAGTTTCACAAGGGTGACCTTGAAGGCTCAATCGGATTTGTCCGACGCTTCCGAAGGTCATTCCAAGCAGAAATTATGCTTGCGTTTAATAATTTGGTTAGCGAATTCCGCGGAGATGGAGCATTTTTAATCACTGTGTTAATAATGGATTAATTAATTGGAGTGACTAAGAGTTGTGTTTGTGGAGATATTATGACACTAAAGTAATACAACCTTGCTGGAGATAAATACTGTTATAGATGTAGTTCATGATGTCATAAGATGAAATCTGTCTAAGCTGTCTTTGACGGATATCCCACGCCTTATGTACTGTCGCATTTCACAAAGGCATGTAAAGTCAGCGGCAGTTGATACTGAAAATAGCCTAGTGCAATGGTTTCAGCACTGTAGAGACATAGCCTCACGGAAGTTGAAGGGGATTACTGGCTGTCTTGGAGGAGTAGGGAAGGAATAGTCGTTCACATCGATGAAACTGTGCTTATTTGGAGGAAGTATAACAGCGGAAGGAGAAGGGCAAATCAAGTGTGGTTTACTTGCCATTTATGACACTTCACTTCGCAAAGGTTTTGTTGAAACAATACGAAATAGAAGTGCCGCAACATTAATTCCAATCACATTCAGCGCTTGGTATTGCCAAGAACAACCACACATACTGATGAATGGAAAAGATATAACAAACTGTCATCTTTGGGTTACATCCACCAACGTGTCAACTATTCCTCCAACCTCGTAGATCCCCGTCACAGGAACGCATACTAACTTTATCGAAGGATTCTGAGGGAGATTAGACAAAAGAATCAGGAATGTCAATGGATCGCAGAATACCATGGGGTTTTAGCCACATCGATGAATACATATATATTGAGTATGGTATGGTTTCTCTGCTGACCATCCATCCTTGGAGGAACTGGGAGACGTTTTTACAACATATGAGAGAACATTATCCAGTTTAATAACATTTTTCTAACATTTTAATACAAACTTTTTCAACGATTTTAACAGTTTTCTGGCATCTGAATCCTGATTGGTTGTTCAAAGTCACTTTAGTTTGGGAATAATTCCACGAAGGTGCTAAATCTTATTGAAGTGATGAGAAATAAGCAGTGGTAGAAGTCAGAATGTGCTTTCTTTTTTTGTCCTATTCACAAGAGTATAGTGACCATATACATACATACAGAGCGGATGATAAATAATAAAAATTCCATTCAAATGTTACCTTGAAGATGACACCAGTGAAATATATTTAACATAACGCTATAGGAATGCAGTAAAAACAGAGCATTGAATGCCTCTGAATTCCATGTCTTACCTCATATTCGAGGGACACGAATAAACCACCTAATTTTGCTTTAATTGAATTTAAGATTTTCCCGTCGATTGATTGGACTGAAGTGCTTGGTCTCAGCCAATATGTCAACCTGAGACCGAGCACTTCGGTCCAATCAATCGATGGGAAAATCTAAAATTCAATTAAACAATTATTATGACCAGTTGCGCAAAAAGTGGCTCTCGTGACCCAAGTGGTCTAGTGCATAACGCTTTGGCGTTTGAAACTATGGGCACTGGGTTCGAGCCTCGGTGGAGAAATCATCACCCACTGGGGAGTGCAGACGCATCCACTGGCTGACGAGTCCCAAATAGGACGAAATGCGCATCCTGGATTCCACTGGATCCACCAGTTAAATACCTAATTTTACCCCCAATATGTGTGTGTGTTGTATTTATCAATCTTATAGCTCATGTAGAGACAGTTACATTGAGTGTACAACAAGTAGATATGTTTAGTATCCGATTTTAGAATGTCACCTTGTGTGGTTAAACAAGGAACAGACAAGATTTAATCGCTACTCCTATTTTAGCTTATCCTAATATGGATAATGAACACAAAATCCTTATTGACAAACCAGCGTGAAGTCATCCCCCTTGCATTTCGACTACTCTCTTAATCTAACCTTACAGAGCTGAAGTTGTCAGAATCCCTCTTAGGAAGCTTAACACACACTTATGTATGTTAGAGAAGAGGAAATTCGTTTAGACACCCCCGCCGCCGTCACTACTACCTTGATCATCACCAATATTTTAACTACCTTCAATTTTCGCATAAATTTCGTAAATTCCATCTGAAATTCAAATAAGTATTACATTTTTTTAAAAAATGTTTATTACAAACTTATGCATCTTTCTTGAACTGTAATTCCACTGATCTTACACTTAACAACTTGATATTGGCTTTTGAAACAAAAACATGAGTATCGTCAATAACGTTTAATTCTTAAATATGATGATGTGTCTAGATACGACTGTAGCTCCAAACGATGACGTTATCGAAAAGAATATTCTCTGACAAAACTCCCTCATTTTTTGTTTTTCAAAGGCTTGTTGAATAGGGAATTTTAGCGATAAACGATTCACAACTCGAACTCCCTACCTACCGTAGTAGTGAGATCAAGAACCCTCCCCCCCCCAATGAATTGTATGATTCTAATATTCCAGAGTGATTTCATAGTACCATTTATTCGATATTGGACCATCTGGTGCAAACCAACCAGTCACACAAAGCCAGCCAGCATTGAAGAATCCTTCTCCACAATCATCTATCGGGTGCCTAATAAATTGCCGAAATCATCATCGAAGCACCGTATGCTCCACAAACAGCAGAGGCTATTGCAATTCGCCTCAAACAACCAGTGCTCTGTGTTCAAAAGAAGCAAGTCCAACCAGCCCTGCCCTAACCGGCCTTCAGCGGAGACTATAAATTCATGAATTTGTAATAGTATCTTTCCTAATTTTTCTGACATTCAGTGTGTATTGTTTTGTTGATGTTATTGAACTGTAATCCATTGATATTATTATTTTCATTGATTCGATGGTATTTAAACAACATTAATGTTGTTCATAACACTAATTCATTCATGGACTATAATGTGTATATATAACTGTAGGAACTGATGATGAAGTTCATCAATAAGAGTATTCTTTGTTCACTATCCATTCTGTCTTTTGTCATTACCCCACGTTTCCAATGGAACACAAGCCTTCACGGCTTAAGCTTTCAGAGGATTAAAGGAAAGACGAAGAGGATTGCTAATCTCACATTAAAGCTTGCCTCTTTTCTACAAGTAGGCCGCGATAGCTGCTACCTTGACGTGGTGGTCGGGCTTGCACATCGCGATGACCCAACAGGCTGGAACCAATGTTCCTGCAGGTCCTACCATGCCAGTAAGGTTGTTAGGATAGCAATTAGACTAAAAGCAACTACCGGCATTCTGTAAGAATCTTTCCTACACTATTCTGGGGGTCTGAGGGCGAAGTCGTACTGCTGGGGAACAGGGGTGTAACAACAGTGAGGTGTTTCCCTCAGATGACTAGCATGCCAGTTATGCTGTCTCTCCACTCCGGAAAGAGGGGGTTAGAAAAGGTCGACCCCAACAATTGTATATCCCGACTTAGCCTACGGTGGTCCATAACCGGCGGTAAGTTTACGAATACGGAACCAATCCCAGAAACCAGTTCATACAGGTCGTGTGTGACCGGCCTCAAATAGCTGTCCCCTGGGCTCTGCGATCACGCAACACTAACCTTCTTTCTGTTTCAGGTACCCGAAGAATCAATCAATTTCCACGGTGTGGGAGGGGGCAGCCGGGAAGTAACAACCGCCCACATACTCCCAAAAGTAGGCTAAGAAAGAGAGGTGGTTTAGGAGTGCATCACCGCTGTGGTTGGCTGGGAATCAAACTCGGAGCATTTGTGTGTTAGAGAGGGGTGTGGGTGTTAGAGACACTACACTTTTTTTACTGATAAACAAACAATCAACTGTATCATACACTTACCTATAGGTAATAGACAAATTCTCATTATGCACTGGATATAGTTTAGCAACATTATATAAGAAATTATAGATTGCAAATTTTGGACAATTAATAATACGAATACGTCGAAGTGCTGGTAAAGGATCAATACGTTTCACGGTGGACTCTTTACGAGTGGCGCCATCAGTTGTCATTTTTGTAGTTGTTGCTGTTGATGATGATGATGAAGAAGAAGAGGCGGAGGAGGAGGATGAAGAGGAGCAGGACTTGGAAGTGGAGGGATAGGTAGCCAATTTGGAGGTGGAGAATTTTTCATTATTAAATAATATTGCTCTCAATTCTGTACAATTCTCCAATGTGATATTCTTTAAATGAGGTGCTTCACTTAAAATTAAATGTGAAATTCCAACCTAATAAAATGAAAAACAAACGCAAAAAAAAGGTTCAATAAACATCCATTTTTCTACCTACAATAGTTTTAACAACCATGGAGATATGGGGTCCACTGGCCTGACCATTTGACTTTTAGTCAATGGGTTCTCACCTAGTTCAGTCTTGGTAATTGGATAGTATCACTACCCCGTCTTTGGCGCCACAAACGATCTTGCATGACTAAGGATGTGTAGACTTCGGTCCTCCTCTCAAGGAAGAACTCATGTGACCACGGTGTTTATAGTCGCTGTCAAGTGTAAGTTCTGTTCGTTGTCTTCACGCAACAGGGATGTTCCCCACAAAAATGAAAAGGTGAATACGAATGTCTGACACATTTACAAACAGACTGGTGAACATGCTGGTCTATCTAGGGAAGAAGAAGAAGAAAAGCCCTGATTCCAAACCTGCGGTGCATAAACCGGTTGACCGCTGACGAAATCTCAGCACGGATACAGAAGGCCCATTTGGCATTTGCGAAATTACGTCATTTCTCGCACAGACTGACTTACTGACTGTCGATCAAAGGACGTGTGCACTGATCGGCAGCAGTTCGCCCCGTCCTCGTTTAGGGATGTAAGACAAAGTCATTCAAAGTGGAGAACATGAAAAGCCTGACTAGCCGTCTGAGTTCTACCTTCCATGTTAGGGGGTATAGTAGGGTGAGTGATATTGAGGTGGTTATGCTTCAGTCACGTGCCAGTTAAAGACGGAAAATCAATCGATGAGGTTATGAAATTATATCGATCGAGATGGTTAAGACATGTGTTAAGCATACAATAAGCCATGGATCGCCTTCCTCGACAGACGGTCAATTTTAGATGACACAGGATCGATCAACTTTTTTGGAAAAGAGAGTGGTGGTCAAACCAACACATGGAATCAGTCAATGAAATCTAATAACAGTTAGTTTAAACCAGTCGCGTAGGGAGGTGTAGACTACCTAACTGGTTGGAGTCCTCGGGATTCGAAGAACCAATTGCTACAGAGTATTTAAGATATGGCTCAAAATCGTTAGCAATTATTAGTATTATTATTATTCCCTTGGGTTCCTAGTGGAACATAGAGCTTCAACTGTACGTCTCCACTTGTTTCTGTTTTCTGCTGTACTTTTCACCTGCACTCATGTTAGTCCATACTGTCTCAACTCCTCTTCACACGATCTCCTCCATGTCACCCTTCGACGTCCCACTCGCCGCTTCCCCTGCGGGTTCCACTCGAGCTATGGCGTGACACGCGATGTCACCCAGCGGGCTCCTCAGCTCACCGAGTGTCCAATCCATCTCCACTTTCTCCTGCATATTTGTTGAGCGATTGGTTCCTCCTTTGTTTGTTCCCATAGTTTCCTGTTGGTGATTCCTTCCGGCCATCTGATCTTCAGTATAGAGCCAGCGAAGACAGCTGTTGTTGATAAAGGTCTGCAACAGGCTGTTGGAAATATTCTTTGTAACACACTGGCCAAGTTTCTGATCCATCCGTATAGAAGAACTGACTGACTTGACGTTTGTATTGGAAATCCGAATCACTTTGTTGTTGATGCTGGGTTGAGTGATGAAGATTTCCAGATTGGTATCAGGTTGATGAATATGTTTCTCGCCTTCCCGATTCTCGATTTGACATCCTCGTCTGTTCCTCCTGTAGTTGAGACAATACTCCCTACATAAGTGAATGAAGTAACCTCTTTCAAATCCCTCCCGTTGATGGTGATTGGCGCTGGATGTTGCTGCTGCTGTTGTTGTTGTTCTCAATGGATGGCGCAAATGCATCCACTCTTTGTGATTTATCATATTCAATAAAACTTCATTGTCCTTCCACATTAGCATTCATTTTTCCTTACTCACACTTGTGTTTACTATGTCTTTTAATCTCTCTGTACTCTGTTTTCGTGCTTTGTGTGCTACATGGAAATTGGTAACTCGAAGTGCTGCACATATGTGAAAAGTTTTATGTTTAAACCAGTCAGTCATGGTGCACATAGGATCCAGAATCCGAAAGGAACGAATAGCGTTTTGAACCTGGAATTGGTTACTGACAACGATGAGCTGACATCAGTTAGAGAACCATTGGAAAACCTGGGAGTACTGGACAGCTGTTTCGTTCTGGGAACTTTCTATTTGCAAGGCGAGCTCGTAAAAGGTCCTGGGTTCGAATCCCGGTGGGTGCGTGCTGCTGAAGAGTCCCAAACCAGAACGGAACAGCTGTCCAGTACTCCCAGGTTTTCCAGTGGTTCTCTAACTGATGTCAGCTCATGATGAAATCCTCCATGCAATCAAACAAAATCCCTACAAATCCAATACTTGAAAATTTTAAATATTGCTTACAGCTTGCTGATTAGCAAGTTTGTACTAAACATGAGATGAAAAAGTATTATTTTCGATGGATGTCAACTTATCCCACAATACATGAGATGACCGAGCATTGCTGAATGGTATCTGTCGTTCACAAAATGTACACACATGAACTTCTCAAAAAAGGTTGTTGTGTATTTCTCGAAGGAGAAAAAGAAGAGATATCACATAATAGTGGATTGGTTTGTGCTTCAGGTCAGATAGAACAGCATTGTGTCACACGATCTATTCTATTGTCAATTAATGTTCTATTTGATGATGATCGTGGACGAAACGAAAACATGCAGCAATAAACTCTCCTGAGAATTTTGTGCATTACTGAGACTTTGCCAATTCGCGCATGCATACAACAAAGGAAGTATAAAATCACAACTAAGGATTTCTGTCATTCCTTTGCCTCCCTCCCCCTTCCAGTTATGAGGAACAAAAAAATGCAGCATTAAACTCATTACATCTGTGGAAGAAAAGAACAAACTACTGAATGCCAAAACAAGCAAACAAATAATCAATTGAAACTCTCTAATTGGGGGAAAAAAAGCAACACAGTTGTGTTCCCTTCTTGTACACTATACACACATATAAGTAGACAGTTTTATCATAAAAAATACACTGAATCATCAGACTCTTGAGGATGTCATCAAAATAATCCCACCAGGTAGATAAATATGCAGGTAGACAGACCGAGAGACAGACAGGTAGGTAGGTAGGTAGGTAGGCAGACGAACAGATAGACACGAGAGGAGAGGAAAACAAAACAAAAAAAACAACCTGTCATCGTCATTAAAAGAATCAATGAGTTTTTCAGACTTGAAGTATCCCAATAAATGTGTGTTTGTGCGTGCGTGAAGAAGTGATTCACGCATTCATTAAGCCAGTGAATGTGTGACTCATTATCATTACAAGACAGAGATGCATATTATCTTGTTATATATGTCTATATACAACACATATAAGGGCTTATTTCTAGTATTTATTCCTTTATTTCTTTGCGTTCTGAGTGGAAGAGCATAGGGGCTTCAAGTGTGAGCTTTAAAGTTTCACTAGCAATGGTATTGATTTACTTACAGGATGAGGTTCCTAGCCTCACGGTAGCCTAAACTTCCCAGTTTGTTGAGATTATGACCGATTAGAGCAGGTAAAGGTGTACACACACGCTGCGCGGGGAATCAAACCCCAGACCATGTGTAGGGGGTTAGCCAATATCTCATTATGCATAAAGTGTTGTTCCGGCTTTATTCGAATTCTCCCTTTTATTTCCACCTACTATTCACTGACCAGTAAGTAAGTAAACAAAGCGAGCTTTTGGGAGACCTCCTAAAAACCGACTGTCCCATTGTAAACACAACCGATGCACTAATAAACGCATACAAAAGAGGAAGTCAGGACTGTGAAGCTCGTATAGAGTTGTGCTGGGAAATATTGTGATGAAATACCTTTCCAATCTAATCCTATACAACAGTCACGATTACTTGACGAGGAAAACGATGGGCCTCAGTATACGTGACACCAACAGCCACAGCAACAACAACAGACAACAATCAGCATAAATGGGAGGAACCTGAAAGAAACAGCCTCCTATACGGATCAGAGACTTGCACTGCGCGTCATAAAGAGCACATCAAACAAACTACAGACGTTCATTAACAGCTGTCTTCGCTCAATACCACTCAAGATCAGATGGCCGGCCATAAAAGATCAGCAACAGGGATCTCTGGGAGCGAACCAACCAGGAACCGATTGTGAAACAAATAGGCAGCAAGAAATGGAGGTGGATTGGCCATACTCTGAGGAAACCATCAAGTGACATCACTAGACAAGCCATTGCTCGAGTGGAACCCAAAAGGGAAGCGGCGAGTTGGTCGTCAGTGCAAGGGTGACTTGGAGGAGGTCATTTGAAGAGGAGATAAAAGCGTGTGGCAGACTTGGAGCCAGGTGAATACTCTAGCAGAGAAACGAACGGAATGGAGACGCGCGGCTGAAACCCTATGTTCCTCTAGGAATTAAAGGAAATAATAATATAATACGTGACACCTGTCTTAGGTCAGCTCAATAGATGCGATTTCACAACCACATCGATTAACTTCCCCTCCTTACTTAAATACTACGTCTAATTCCATCGTGCTATAATTACTTAACACAGGAAGTAGAAAGCAGACGACAGATACGGTCAAAGATGGCTAGCCTTTTTTCAGGTTTTCCGCTTTCAAGGAACACGTTTCACACGGTCAGTATAGAACGTCACCTCACCAGACAACAATACAGTTACAACACCTCTACTCTCTAACCCCTCTTTCTAAACACGTGGACGTGGAGGAGCTTATCACAGCTCAAGCATTCAACTATCAGTCGGGTAGGTTATTCGGGCTCCAAATTCCACTCTATCTACTCTACACTTCAGCCTGAGTAACTAATACTGTGGTGAGCGCTGGCTGCTAGCCAAATTGGTAGATGGCAATTTACGTCAATGTTTACGTCCTCAATATTGGTCGTGAGAAAAATATGAACAAAGACTGATTCAACAACCAACCACAGCAGACTTTGCGTAGGCGGATACAGCCCGACCGAAAGCTGCTACCTTGACGTGGTAGCCGGGCTTGAACATCGCAATGACCCAACAAGCTATACTGGCTGAGACTTATGTCGCTTGAGGTCCTACCATGCCAGAAAGGTTGTTCGGATAGCGGTTAAACAAAAGGCAGCTACCCAATCCAATTCTATGATTCAAAATATCATGCCGGATCGGTCGGGGCCCGGATTAACAACGACCGTGCTTCCTGCTGCCGTGTCACAGGGCAGAAGTGATAAGTATGCTACTGAGACACACCAAACAAAAAAGAACAAACAAAAACAGGCCGCGTGTGACTGGCCTCAAGCAGCTGTCTCCTGGACTCTGCGGTCACACAATACTCTTTCTGTTTCAGGTTCCCGAAGAATCAATCAACTTTCACGGTGTGGGCAACGGGGAAGTAACAACCGCCCACACACTCCCAAAAGCACACGAAGCCTTGCAGAAAAGCAGATACAGTTAGCATATAGATGACCTGACATTCAAGAAACAGCCACAAAGAGATGAAAGATTAACGTTCAGTGAGAAACAACCACCAATCAGAAGACTGTGTTTTTCTGCTAACAATAATCTATAATAATGTACATGAAAAGCTATAAATATGTGTTGATTTCCTAAATAAAAGATCTGTCGACTGGCCCTTGTTTTCTGTTGTTACACTACTACTTCTCCTACAGATTGGTAGTATCATGAAGTCTAAAAACTTTAAAATATGTGACTCCTTTATAGTCCAGTGTATACATCAAGAATTCAAAAAAACAATCAATAACAAAATAAACAAAAAAAAACTCACTTTTTCAAAATGCAATGAAGTAAGACAACTATGAACAGCATGAATTGTGAGTATTTGAGGCTTGGGCAGTGAAAAACACCTTAATTCACTAGTATCTATACAAGCATCACGTGCTAACCATTTCGAGGATAATTTACGTTGACTAGGCTCTTTATACGGAGCAGATATCTAGAAAGTAACAAAAAGAAAAGGAAAGAAAGTTATGAGTATGTACAACATATATGTGTATATGTATATAAGCACATTTATTACTGCGGTTATTTTTCATCCCTTGGGTTTCGAGTAGAACATTGAGGGGGCGGGGGGTTCAGTAACACACCTACACCTCCGTTTCACTCTATTTGCTGCAACCCCCACACGATCTTCTACATGTCATCCTCAAATTCAGACTTAACTTTCTGTTTCCAATTGGGATTCTATCCGAGGACCCCAACCAGTCAGGAAGTCTACACCTCCCTACGTGACTGGCTGGCTAAAACTAACTGTTGTGGATTTCATCGACTGATGAAGCCATGGTGGCTTTGGTTCGACCACCACTGGCTCTTTTCCAACCTGAGCTGTCCTATGTCAGCTAACACTGCCCGTCGAGGAATGCGATCGACGGCTAGGCATGCGTAACACGTGCCCTAACCATCTCAGTCGATGTAGCTTCACAGCCTCGTCTATTGATTTCCCCCTCCTTACCTAACACTCGACGGAGGCCTAACCTCAATATTGTTCACTCAATTATGCCACCTAACACGGGAGATAGAACACAGGCACCTATGATCAAAGACAGCTAGCCAGCCAGGCTTTTCATGTCTTCCACTCTCAATGATCAGGTCTCACAGCCATAAAGGAGGACGTAGTGGACCGGTGAACAGTACACACGCCCTTTGGTCGATAGCCAGTCAGATACCACGTCTACACCAGAGATGGTGTAAAATAGCATATGCGAAATGAGCCTTCTGTATTCGAGCTGAGATTTCGTCAACGATCAACCCGTTGGAACTTCTCAAATAAGCGAAGTGGTCAACACGCTCTACCAATCCACTCCCTAGTTTTAGGCTAGGAGTCAATGCAGTCCAGTCCAGTCCTGTAGCATCATCTTACATTTTGCGGGAGCGAATCGTATACCAAACATTCGTAGATTGCAGCTCAAGGTGTTCAGAAGACTCCGCTGTATTTTGTCAGCGTCTTCACCAAGGAGGGAGGACTACATAATCTGCATATTCTAAGTCAGTGAGACTGGATAGTATCATCATTAGCCATGGCATACAAAATGTACGGTTCATATCCCAGTTCCAAGGAACTGTATTCTGATTAACTATGTGTCCAGGTTAAACCCAAATAGAGTTTCAATTCATATCTAACTGGAATGAAACCTCTAAGTGAAGCGCAAGCACTGGAGAAGTTATCCAGTCTGACAGTGAAACGTACAACGTTTACGTTGGAAAGAAGACTGAACAAGTGTCTGACGTCAATCAAACTCTACAAATACTTTTTTTATGTCATAATGCCTAAACCTTTGTCTAGATATTTCTGGTCTTAGTAACATTACGACAATATACTTCATAAATACAACATAAGGCAAAAGCTACGGAGAGGTCAGCGCCATAAATTCGAACTAAACTGCAGAGTAAGTTTACTTTGAGATTATAATCACCATTGACTGATGAACACACGCACATCACATCAAATAAGTCTGTAAAACTAAGTCCAACCAATAGTTAAAACGCAGTTACGTCAAAACGTGCTTTCCAATTTACTAGATATTAGTTTAGAGCTTTTACAGGCAAATCTTTCTTCATCGCTTTGAGTTCCCAGTGGAATATGCAGGGCGGCTTCAAGCTTTGAGCCCTGAAGTTTTAATAGCGGCGGGGCATCTTTTACTAGGTGAGGCGACTAGCCATACATTCAACAACCCTACCTGTTTACCAGGTTCACTACCGACTGACTAAGCGAGGTATAGAAGTTCGACGCTATAGAATTGAATCCGGACAACACGGATGCATCTGCAGGATATTTCGGTCTAAAGCAAAACTATGCAAAAGATTTTATTTTCACACATTTACATCTGATAACCGTAAATGGGAAACGAACTTATGATGAGAATAATAATAGTAATAATAATAAATCAATAGTTTAACACGTATGCATGTGAGAATGTGACTTACCTGATAATTTATAATACCCTGAGAGTAAAGAAGGGGATCAGAAGCACACCCTGAACACTCATTAGAACCAGTTACAGGATGAACAATCTGACCTGATGGAAGACCGAATAACGGAGACATTTTGAAAATTAACTGAGTCCATTCAGAGGTTGTAATCACTTTGCATAACATTTTATGCTGTATTGATGGAGGATAAGGATGAAATGCATAAGTACCACCGAGTTGTATTAGTTGAGGCATCATTCCATTATTAGTAGTACCAGATGTAGAGGCGGTTGTTTGACTGTGAGTGTTGCCGGTGTTGTTTTGACTTGACGATGATGATGCTGCAGCAGCAGCTGCTGCTGAACGCAATAATGATGTCCGTCCAGAGCAAGAAGAAGTCACACTTTCAGAGGATGATGAAGCTTTACTACCCCTTGTTGATGCTTTTGTGTCAACAGTTAATCGAGATTGAAACATTCTTAGCATAACATCCCATTCTAGCATACCACATATACATGTCTGTGTAGACTGAGATATAAAACCGGGCGATGAATTATCCATCATTCCTGTGCTTGCATCTGTATTATTCGAAACTGGGATATGTACACTGTCTGAAAATAGAGTTTTAGCCACACGATTCATTGGTTGTGGCGATGATGATGATGATAACATTGACCAACCACACGAACCATCTAGTTCCAATAAACTGTTCAAGTAGGTATGTGCTCTAAGTGAACACTAAAAGACAAAATTAAAAGATCCTTCGTATTATTGCATGTTTAAATAAATTATATAATTATGCGCATATACTGGACTGACAAAAAGATCCTAGAAAATGAGGTCAACGTCTTTTGATGTCACATAAACCAACCAGAAGGTTTACGCAGGCGAAAATCAACAAGTTGGCAGAACAGACGGTGAAGATTGTACACTTCAAATGAAAACAGGAAAAAACGATGTGATGAAGATCACTGAAGGCTTTCATCAACAGATATCTTCGCTCCACACTGGCGATTAGATGACCGACCAAAAAAGGACTCTGTGACTACGAACTAACTAACTCAGGGCTATCCAATTACAAACTTGACCTTTGAACTTGAAGTTCGATTCACATTTACAAGGCAGTGAGTGGTGCAGCATTCCCATGGTTATCAATGACGAAGAAAAGTTCATGCGCCATTCAATCCTCTTTGGATTCCGGAGCCCATATACACCAAAAGGTTAGGAATCGGGGTTCTCCAGTTCCTCTAGTTCAGACGTTCACATTCGCCCTTTCACTTTTGTGAGGAATATCGCCGCTAGTGTGAACAGCACTTACCTTGCAGAGGTCATTAACGCGTGGCCAAACGAGAGCGTTTCGACAGGAAGATTGAAGTCTACCTAACCTCGGTCATACTAAGTCGTTTATGGGTGCATACTTGAATCATTGATAAAACCAATGGGATGATAACCATATGAAACCCTCACTGCAGGCTACAGACCACCGCAGGGTCTGACCTTCGCTAACCCCCCCCCACACACACACAAAGAGGGGAAGTAGAATAGTTGGCTCGCTACTAGTGCGAGGGAGACATCTCACCACTGTTACACTCAAGTTCACTAGCAATACAATTTCGTCCTCAGACCCCCAATACAATGTAAACGGCTTTTAGTCGAATCGCTAACTAACTAACTAACTAACCCTTCTGGTGAGGTATGATGTCACTTGTAGTAGAACATTCGTTCCAGTCAGTACAGTTCTTGTTGGGTCACTTAGATATGCAAGACCGACGACCCTTACGTCACGGTAGCAGCTGTCAGCGGAAGTAACAATTGACGATAGCATGCCAACTACACAGTAAGATGTCATGATTACATCTCATAATATACATACATATATCCTTGTATAATATATAAAAATAGTGTTTATAAATACTTCGACTTACAAATAGATCATTAGGTTTTGTCCGCAAAGAATCAGGCATAAAACCACGTGGTTGATTGATATGAATCACATCACGTATAGATGATCCTAAACCAATACCTTCAGGGGATAAAGGCGAATAACCCAATCGACGAGCAGCTAGAAGATCTGATAAAGCTAGCAAATGGCTAAGTTTACGCCAGTCTATTGATTCATTCACAGTAGTAGCATTAGTGGTAGTAGTACCCACTGATGTCTGTAGAAAATCTTTCCTCTCACCGTATTGAGCGACGAACATATTTCTTAGAACAATTGTCTCCAAACATGGGAAAGGATGTCCAGTATTGATAACACGTTCAAGAGTCTAAAAATCCAAATGAAAAAGACAACAGAGTTAAGTATATCTCAATCATAAATGCTGTGAAAAAAGGGGGAAAAGTTTATAGAAGAAAAACACATTTCATTGTGTAAATCTCGTCCCCCCCCCACACACACACAACCAGGGACCAATGAACGAACAGCCGTCTCATTCTAGTTTGGGACTCTTCGTCAGCTGTCGCCTTTCTTTGGGTCAACCAGGAAGGGATCCAACCTAGAACCACCAACGTTACAAGGACAGTTCGATGAATACCTACCTACCTCATAGGCTACAGCTTGTCAGTAGAACTTTAGAACACCCACCCTGTAGCTACTTGTTTCAAGTCTAATCACGGATTGACATCAGTTAGTGAATCATTGAAAACCAGCACTGGAGGAGTGCTGGACAGCTGTTTCGTCCTAATATTTGGCACTCATCGGTAGTACGGAACCATCCCACTGACAGGGTTCGAACCCAAAATCTACCAGTTACAAGGCAAGCGCGCCTGCAGACGACTCAGCCATTGGGTCCCGACTCAATAATAATGACCAGTGCATGAATTCTAACTCCTGCCAAATCCTGATTTTATTGCGATTGGCACCAGTTAATGTCATCGGTGGAGCGTATTTGTCCTTACTCCCGACTTGTTAGTGGTGGTAAACCCCAATGGTCACGATTTTTCACCTAACTCTAGGCAACTTCGTCCTGCAGTCAGTCAGTCACTACTGTTGAAATGTCAGCAATAAGCATAGATTATTTAGTAGTTGTGACACCTGAATACGTGTGAACAAAATTTTTATGATAAAACATTTTATTGAGGAAGTCACTCAACTTAAAAGTTAGAGTGGTCCTAACAACACTGTTCACTGAGGTGATATCATTCCCATTTGGTGGTGACTAGTAGTGAAATATATTTTACGTACACTTTGTCCTATTCGGGACTCGTCATCTGGATGTACAAGTACTCCCAGTGAGTGACGGTACCCCTACTGAGACTCCAGCCCGGTCGGTCGGTCAGTTTTCGACGTAGAACTTTGCTCATATGTGCGGCAGTTCAAGTCGCCACACAGACTCTAGCCCTATACCCATCATCTCAGACGTCAAAGCATCTTCTATGATGCACTTGAAATGATGAGTGCGCGGTGTTCGAGTCTCAATGGGAACATAGAATGCAGGTGTATCCCGTTGACAAATTCTAAATAGGAAGAAATGTGAATCCTGGATACCACTGCCAGTTATCACCAGCGAAAATAACTTCAAGTTAATCCCTAGGCATCATCGAAGCATCGATGATATGTCAAACAAAGACCGTATAACTTTGGTCCAACCTCAAAATATAATGAGGTTTCTCTAAATCGAACAACTTCAGAGTCATTGACAGTCAGTAGAAGAGTATGTGTCGGTTGATAGTCAAATCTAGGCAGCAAGTTGCCAAAAAAATTTAACACATACATTTTCGTTTTCGTGATTTCATGCTAGTATAAATATATGGCTTAATTCAATCAGATATGCTTTGTTTTCCCGCGTGTCGAAGTGACCTAAGTTTCAACTAGAGTACCACTCTAAAATGTATACTTAAATGAACATGAATCAATACTCTCGAAGGGTGAAATACCGTAGTAGGCAATAGTCTTGTCGTCTGTTCTAAAGATGTTGAGAAATGAACAACTCCGTGTTCTCATCGACTCAGTATCGATTTGTACGTCTATATGTGAGTACAATGAAATTCAAACAGAATCTGATTGTCCAGCAGCTACATCTGACCACAAAACTTCCAAGTTATTGAACAATCAATCCCTGTACTATCTGTGGCTCTCTCTCTTGAACCGTTTCTCAATTTCTGTGTGCGTTAATTATGACGCACAAGAACTATATGAAGTGATTTGTGTATTTCTCTGTTGTTGTGTGTGACAAGGAACACCCTTGGTTAGGAAACAGACACACCATTTTGTAAGTATTACAGACAGGGGAGACAAAACAAAAGACTTACTTCAACACATATCCCAGGACAATTTTCCAGCGTTAACGACCGTAAAGGTAGGGAATGTGTCTTAGACGGTCTATCCATTCCACAAGACGGTGTAGATTGTTGTTCTTGACTGTTAGTAGCTGTCTGTTGAACAGGTGGATCAACAGTATTATTATTGGCACTGGATGAAGGCTGAACTGTTGGTTCAATACGATGAAGTGGTTCTTCACCACAAAAACTCGCTGAAAACCATCTAGTTATATCCTTTAAATATGGTGCATTACGTATAGTTATATTGACTAATCGTGGACAAATGAAAAATGCTAGAGCTAAACCCCAATCAGTTATCGCGCAGATAGGTAACACGTGATCAGCTGATTCACCGATACCAAGACTCGTCAACTCAGAAACTGTTAAACGTGATTGATAAGGATCTAAATAGCCTATAGAATGAAACAAAAGAAAGGTTATGTAATTAGGAGTAGAAAATATTATCATCTCTAAACTATTTGATCTAAAGTAATAAAGTGTATTATTAATAGGTGAATGTGTGCTTTTAAACTCAGTTCCAAGAAAAGGATTACCAGGCACACACACACACACACACACCATCGCTGAGTCTCACACACTGATGGATAAAATGGGTGGACTAGGTGGATTCGAACCCAGAATTCGTCATCTGAAAGTTGAGTGTGCGCTTAGGCCAATGATTACATATATATCAAGCAAGTTTAGTGAGATACACAATAAAACTGATAGAAACACTATGGAGCCAATCATTACATAGAGACTCAATTTGACTGTTGGATCGATCCACTGGTTCTTGTACAGTGTGCAGATAATTGCATGCAAACTCTACACCTTCGAGGGAAAGCTACCATTATAATCATCGGAAGTTATGTCTATCAGGGGGAAAACACACACACAGCCGATATCAACATCTTCAATCTGGAGAAACCCTCTTAGGGCAAAAGTAGTGATGAATATTTCCATGAGTAGGGTTGAAAATATAAAGTATGAAAGGAAACTATCTGAAGAGTAATGTCATTTACAAGTTTACTGTTATAACACCTTACAACATTTTATTTTTTTATTAATTCCTTGAGCTTCGAGAACGAAATATGGGTTTAACAATATATTTCTATTCCGCTTGGCTTGTTTTCTCATCACATTCCCGTAGGATCCACGAATGCCTTCAGGCTTCATTTCTTTTGTACATGTTATTTCCTATGTCCACACCTTTTATCCATGGTCATCTCGTTGCTTTTCATTCAGGCTCTGCTCGAGGACCTACCTCGAGATCGATAATACCTGAAGGTCTCTCCTTAGAGTAACAGGTTATTGACTCGTCCACTGTCACTGACTATAACATATTACGCAGGATGTTAAAGGTTGTCAGCAGGGTAAGCAACGTGCCACTTAGCCAGCTTGTTAATATTCTGGTCGACAGGCACATGGACTCATGTGAAAAATGGGCCAAGTCCATTTTATCTAACTCACACCACCCTCTTCACTCACAACTCTCCCCTTGCATCTCATCAGGTAAAGCCAGAAGCCTATATAGAAAACTATATGCTCGCACCAGCAAGTACAAAAACTCAACCATACCCTACTTAGCTCGTGTTCTGTGTGATAAAGAAAGCATTAGGCTTGATACCTATAATTCATTAAATAGTCAGTAGTACAACTGGACCTCGTCTTTCCAACCCACATCATCAATAGGTACAGCATTTTCTTTCTTTCTTTTCCTTTTCTCTCTCTCCCTTTTTTCTTTTTTCCGTTATGTGCTGCTTTGTGTCTTTCTCTCGCTAACACCAGTAAATATGACAGCTCCCACTTTTCTAACACCTTCAAACACTGTTCAGATTTACCTTTGCTACCGACATGCCAATGTGTTGTTGTAATAATGAACTGTGATTTCCTTAATCTTTGTAGAATTCTATTTATTGATAATGTACTAACTGGATGCAATACTGAGAATTCCATTCTGTATCACATGTACTGTTTTTGGAATAAAGCAAATTATTATTATCATTGCCTTGTTGCCTTATCCTTCCTGATTAGGTGGTCTTCATTAACGAGCAAAGGCAACGGAGATGATGGAAGTCTGCAGCGCAGGCTATCGGAAATGCTTTAGGCGACACACACGTCAATAGCTCACTGGTCTAACCCTAGATCACTGGACAAAAGATTCCAACACCGCTTCTCACATACCGAGGAAAGGCTTGAGTAGCTTGGATGACATCTCATTAGCCCTTAATCCAAGAGATGAGACTCATTTTCATTCACTGTTTTCCACGGTGTCATTAAAATCCATACTACAGAATGATGAAGCTGCCAGTATACTGGCAACTGCAAACATACCGATGGAGAAAACGATGTGTATAGAGAGTCTGGTGCATATGCGCTTACATCCTTGGTTACTATTTATAGTAGAATCAAGCAGATCAAATATTGTGATCTGGATATAACTAGCTTTCCAAAAGAAACTAACGATAAAAAAAATTTCACAACTCGAAATGTGTACAGATTGTAAATTGTGTGAATTTGATTTGAGCTAATCCAACCAAACTTACCTAGTGTTAAACTTTCAAGACGTGGAAACTCTGCACCTGCATGATAAAGACTTTCAAATAATGAATTTTTCGTGTGAATCATTTGAAGGGCTACTTGATTTAAAGACTGTTGACCAGCCAATAAAAGTAAGCCAATATCTACTTCTGAAGCATCTCTATTACTTGAAAGTACCAAACGTTGAAGATTACGAAATCCTCGACCATTTGATATTGAATCTTCAATAATACGTCCTATAAGACCTTCTATATATAAAATAAATATAAAGCACAATGTTACCCTTTTACATGACGAAGCCTATAATCAAAAAAATTAAATAACAAAATGCAGTTAACATATGTATTTGTGTACTCTAGCATTCCAAACGTTTCAACTACATTATCATAATTTCAGCTGAAACATTTACACGTCAAAAGAATGGACACTGAACAAACAGTACTCTTTCCGATAACTTCAACATCAGGTTCTACAGTTATATATATTCATCTATAATAGTGAATGAATGAATTAGTGTTATGGACAACATTAATGTTGCTGTTTAAATAACATCGAATCAATAATAATAATATCAGTGGATTACAGTTCAATAGCATCAACATAACAATAAACTGAATGTCAGAAAAATTAGGAGAATTAACAATACATAATTCATGAATTTATAGTCTCTACTGAAGGCTAGCTAGGGCAGTTAGTAGGGGCTGGATTTGCTTCTTTTCAACACAGAGCACTGATTGTTTGAGGCGAATTACAATAGCCTCTGCTGTTTGGAGCATGCGGTGCTTCGATGATGATTTTGGCAATTTATTAGGCACCCGGTAGATTATAGAGAAGGATTCTTCAATGCTGGCTGGCTTTGTGTGACTGGTCGGTTTTCACCAGATGGTCCAACATCGAACTGTTAATGGTTTTAATTATACCTTTACTTGGCCATAGTGGGAGATGTTCTCTAGCACGAAAAATCAAGTTCCTAGAGTAACGGCCAATACAAGCAGTCTATAACTAGCCAGTCGTAAGCCCAAGAAAGTTGGGCGTGGAGACAGCGACCCAACCCAATGACAAAAAAACAACAAAAATCCATCGTTGTTAGGAGACTTCATCAAAGCGTCTATGTGTGTTGACGGTTCAAATAACACATAATGCTTGCCAGCCAGCCACGTGAAAGATTCAGGTTCAATTCCCGGACAATGCACTCCGAAACCTTACACCAGCTTACTAACCGACAGTAAGGCCGCAAAAGAGGAAAGGTTAGGGCGTGACCAACCTACCTCACCACCCCGTAAAAACAACACCGCATTTACGGAAACTTTAAAGCTTGCAGCCTTATGGTCCCGCGCTCGGCACACAGAAAATATTTTAAAAATAATAAATACAGTCTACAATGATAAATATTGACTGATTTTTACTCTGGTTAGGTTAGCTGAACACTAATCAAAATTAAACACAACCTTAACAACTATACAACTCTTAGACTACTGACCCAGAAAGACAGACAGATAACTAACTGTAATTTATGATAAAGTAGAGACAAGAAATTCTTTTCAGTTGGAACACTGCTCAATGTAATCATTAAATTCGTTTCATTAAAGTATACTCACACAAATTCTGATCAAACTAATGTCACTTCAATGCAAAGATATTTTATTGAACACAGGAGAACGCACTTATTCAAAAAAATGTGAAGTAGTAACACAGATTGACTTACTGACTGACTAACCAACTAAGTGACACTAAGTTTTCAAGTCACAGGCATAAAATGGACTCACATAAAAAACTTGGAGGATCTGGACTTCGCCGACGATATATGTCTGATTTCCCACAAACTGGAAGATATGCAAGTGAAAAGCAACAAGTTGGCAGAAGAAGCATCCAGAGAAGATAGGACTTCAGGTGAACATAGAGAAAACAGAGGTGATGAAAATTCCTGGCCAACACCAACAGCAGCAACAACAACAACAGACAGCAATCAGCATAAATGGAAGGAACCTGAAAGAAACAACCTCCTTCATTTACCTAACTGGGAAGCATCGTTTCAACTACAGGAGAACGGAACTGACGAGGATATCAAAGCAGGGATCGGAAAAGCAAGACAAGCTTTCATTACTCTCAAGTCTGTGTGGAGGTCAACAGCACTCAGAATGAAAATGAGAATAAGATCCGGATTTTCAACTCCAATGTGAAACCAGTCAGTGCTACTATACGGATATATCAGAGACTTGCACTGCGCGTCATAAAGAGCACATCAAACAAACTACACACCTTCATTAACAGTTGTCTTCGCTCAATACCACTCAAGATCAGATGGCCAGCCAGAAAAGATCAGCAACAGGAAGGGATCTCTGGGAGCGAACCAACCTGGCAGGAACCGATTGTGAAACAAATAGGCAGGAAGAAATGGAGATGGATTGGCCATACTCTGAGGAAACCATCAAGTGACATCACTAGACAAGCTATCACTCGAGTGGAACCCAAAAGGGAAGCGGCGAGTTGGTCGTCAGTGCGAGGGTGAGGTGACTTGGAGGAGGTCATGTGAAGAGGAGATGAAAGCGTGTGGGCAAACTTGGAGCCAGGTGAAAACTCTAGCAGAGAACCAAACGCAATGGAGACGCACGGCTGAAGCCCTATTTTCCTCTAGGAATTAAAGGAAACAATAATAGTAATTTCAAGTCACAGTCTTAACACAAAAACGCCAAAATGTAATAGGGTAAATACACAGAGTTATGTATCAAAAAAATTCATGCATAGAAAAAGAAATTAAAACGAGACGTACCGATGAAACGTACACCAACTAATTCAAGTCGTGTAAGCTGAGGTGCTCTTGACAGCGCTGAGAAAATACGAAGAAATCGAACAACTCTTGTCGGTGTACTACAATTATTCATTACAAAAGATTGAAGTTTTGGCGCCAAAAAACTAAAGAAGGGATCAGCTGAGGAAAATATAACCTGGAGTAATTAATTAAAGGAAAAATAATGTTACGTGAATAGTTCAACTCAAAAACACAGTATGAAATTAATTTGCTTGTGTGTGTGTGTGTCGCAGGAGATTTAAGGAGCAATCAGTTGATGAGGCCAAAATAGGATAAGATTAGCGCATCCTGGAATCCACTGCCAGTCACTATCCACCAAACACAATGTTAAGTGTCAGTTACACACTTTTTTTAATTTCATAGTAGTGAATATTTCTCTGGCATTTGTTTAACAATACTGAACAAACATATAATTCAAAATAGATAAAAGCACAGGAGAGCCTCGTGTGCTTTTTGAGGAGCATGGACAGCCTTACTGCTGTTACACCCCTGTTACACAGCAATACGACATTGCCCATAGACTCCCGCCATAGTGCATAAAGAATCTTACACTATGCCGGTAACTGCTTTTAGTCTAATCGCTATCCTAACAACCTCTCCGACATGAAAGGACCTGCAGGAACAATAGATCCAGCCAGTATAGCTTGTTGGGTCACTGCGATATGCAAGCCCGATCGATAACCCCGTCAAGATAGCGGCTATTAATAAGGAGACAGAAGCATAATTCAAGTCTGTGACATCCTCTGGTTGGAGGTTAAGTGTCACGACTAACGAACCACATATAAACGACTCAGTTAGCTTGTGAAATACGTCTAAGAATAAATACCACTAGTAAAGAAAGCTATTACCTAATTCACAAAATACTATAATCCTTGATATTTCAATCAGTGACTTACGAAAAAGAGAGATAAAAGTTTCAACACAGTGGACACGCTAAGTATGACAAACTATATCACTAGATCTCTTTTGGAAACCTTACGAATTCGTACAGTTTTTAGAAGATTCTCCAAGGAGAATCAAGTCAACTAACGGTTTCGTGAAAAGCTTAAGCATAACTACCACTGTTACCATAAACCGTATATAGTAACTTTTAGGCAGCATCACTTCAACTACAGGCAGCATGGATGAGGACATCAAAGCCAGGATCGGAAAGGCAAGACAGGATTTCACAACTCTGAAATCAGTGGAAACCTACTGAGCTCAGCATAAAGATCAAGATTCCGACTTCCAACATTATTGTCAAGTCAGTCCTGTTATATGGTTCAGAGACTTGGTGCCGGCGTCATCATAATCATTTCTAACAGGCAATTGCAAGCTTCGATCAACAAACACTCTCACTCCATACTGAAAATCAGATGGCCAGAGAGAGGAGTAACAACAAAAAGCTCTGGCAACGTGTCAACCAAGGACCTATTGCCCAACAAATACGCAGAAAAAATGGAAGAGGAATAGACAAACACTGAGGAGACTGTTGACCAGTGACACCACACCACACACCAGACAAGTCCTCGAGTGGAACCTGGATGGGAAACGACAAGTTGTGTGTACGTGTGTACCTCCGAGAGTGATATACCGGAGATCGTGTGCAGAGATGAAAGCTTATAGACAATAATGGAGTCACCTAAAGAGGACTGCAGAGAACACATAGTGTTGAAGCCCTGGCTTTCATTAGGAAGCCAAGGGAATAATACTAAGGTGATTTTATTCTATGAATGTGACTGGTAAACCGATAAATAAAGAACTTTGAAAAAGGAATGCATCAGTTTTTAATGCCGTCATAATTCGAAAAGGCACATATCACAGAAAGGGATACAAGTGTAATAATAGTGAAATGGGAAAATGTATTCAGAGTTTTGCTAACAAGATGTGAATATATCCGTACAATGTTAAGTTATGCCACATACAGAGTCTATAATCGTTATCACGACTAGAAAAAGTTATAGTAATTCATAATGTACACCTTTATTGATTTTCAGATATGGCACAATGAATATGCCGAAATCGATTCAGCAAATAAGTTGTAATTTATACTAGTTATATGTGTTAGTGGTAGAAACCTTTCTAGTTGCTCAAACACCCGAATTAATGCAGCAGGATACAACAAACCAATATCAAAGCGAAGAATAATTATCCTAATAGTTGACAAACTACTCCAAGATGAAGTATAAACAAAAGCGAATGTCAAAGTAGGTCTTGACACCACCAACTAACATCAGTTACGGGACCACCGGAAATCAGGGGCTACTGGGCAAAGTTAAACTTTAAGCATCACTAACTACCGATCAGCGAATGACCTTGAACGCACCAATCACGTGAAGGGGGCATTTTTGTGTATGGAATACATATACTTATGAAGACAAAAATGCATAAATACTGAAGAAAAGTGTTACAGAGGATACCTTTCTCTCACATGTGATCAAAATAGCTCTCAGATTTAGGTTGGAGTATCAACAGAGTATAATTCCATTATGCTCGGAACGTCGTCAGTTAATATCAATGTATAACACTGTGAGATTTTATCAAAATAAACTTTACCCACAATGGAATTTTACTCTACCACAGTGCACAACCACATTCTATGCCTGTAATTATTTAGATCTTCTAACCCTAACAATAACCCTAATCTTTCCTGAACCTAACCCTAACGTGAAAATATCCCTTAACTAACTGCAATCTAACTCGAATCAAATCTACTGTCGCCCTCGTTAGGTTAACCTAACCCTAACTTGTCCATGGCTTAAAGCGTAACTTAATCTTTCCCAAAACTAAGCTGAAACTTGCCAGATATTCCATTTAATAGCATAAACACTTCGATGAGCATATTTTATTGATGATGAGAACATTTTTTGAGATAATGAGAACATTTCACTAACTCCCTTAGTGAGCGTTTTCAGGTTATTGGTGCAATTGCGCTCCGTTAGTAGTTAGTGTTGCTTAAAGTTTAACTTGGCCGAGTACTGAATATATTTTCCACCTAATTCCGCTATCTTCAGTAACGCGCAACCACGACCTCACCATCAGGAATCACACCCCCAACATCACTGGATCCCAATTCGGAGGCTGAATGAACAACGAACTTGTCTGGCACCTTGAAGGTCTTGGATGTGTACTGCCTAAGAGGCTCAGACTCGGCTGAAACAACTACCCGACTCATGTTGGTTTTCAGTGAGGTAAAATGACAATATGGATATCAGAAGACAACTTAAAAAACCGAATTACAGACAACAGCAAAACAATTTTCGTTTTAAAACAGGATTTAAACCTCTACCATTTTCAACTAACAGGATACAGGCAAGTTAATCACCATTAAGCTTAAACAAGAATATGATGCTTTCGGTTAAAAAATTTATGCTTACCCATTTAAGATGAAGATATTTAATATTATCCAACCGAGGGATAGCACTTATAGCGACAGAAACAAGATCCAATTTAGTTAAATTTGTAATAACATGAGGTAAAACAATCCACTGCATTTGACTGGGTAATGGAGACACTAACCATGGTCCAGATGCATTTAAGTTTGTTGAGTTAGTCCGCTGTCGACGGTATCTTAATGGTTGTCTTTGCTGATTTCGTCTAAATGCTAGATCTTGTAACCGTACTTGACGACCAACAATAACTGGATTAACATTTTGCGGGAAGTTGAGTATTCGTTCAAAAGCTAGATGTGGTCCTTGTGGCCCCCTTAATATATCAGCTCCAAATAAAACACCGTTATATTGCCTGACATCAATCAAACGACAGTGTTGTGCACTATTAGGTGGTAAAACTAACGGTGAAGCTGGTTGTGGGGGGACGAAAATAGCACCAAAAGCAAATGCTAAAACCGGACCAAGAGCATTACGAACAGAATTTCGACTTGATCCTACAGCATGCAGAGAACAACGTGAATAACCGAAAGGGGCTACAGCAATTAATTCACCTTCAATCGGTGGTAAGCCAGGCTGCAGAAAATGTGAAACAGCCATATTACGCAACGATTCTATTGCGTTTGAATAACAGTCCAGTGCTGCTGAAGGCATGAGATTGTTTGATACATTTTCTTGGGCAACAGGAAAGATGGGACCCCCATTGAAAGCAGTAAACAATCGAGACGGTAGGAAATGAGGTGCTGTGGAAGGTGAACCTTGGCCTAGAGGTAACTCACCAACAGGTTCAAACCAATTAGCAAAATTTGCATAACGTAAAGAGATCTTATGAGCTGAGTGTACAGCCATTTTTGTAAGTGAGCGGTGGTTTCCATTTCTACACGGAGGTGACAATGAAAAGGCTGCATTTACAAGGTTGAATGATGGTATAGCGCATCCACATCCCGTATGTCCTTTGGATTTTAAACGGGTTGAAGTTTTTCTCCTTTCATAACTATTTTTGATTGCTGCAACTGAAGTTGCTGAACAAAACAAAGTGCTTAGAAAACTTCCATATAGGGGCTTTGAATCTGAGTTAATATCACGTTGAGTAGTAACATTCGTCGGTGAGTCATGGTCATTGATTTCTTCAATTACTTCGTTGTTTGGCTCCGGTGGAAGAGGAACGGCATACTCACAGTCCCAAGAATCTGGACGATTCCTGAACATACCATGGAATTTTATGCGAGGATGATGTCGAACTAACTCACTCATTAGTTCTACATCCATTAGTTCCACAGAACGAAGTTTAGGGCAAAGTCGAAATGCTGCGATAATCCCCACATACGTCAGTGAATTGTATCCAGAACTGATGCTTGAATACTGACCATCAGAGGGATAAGATCCTACTATTTTTCTCGGATAAAAGCCGAGGATATGTGTGACTTCTGGTGTACGACTTAGTATGCGTTTCAAAGTCATATCAGTGATTGACTCCGGCAAAAACGCAAACGGAAGACCATTACTGAAATTAATGCGCTTAACCAGTAGAAGATACTGTTCGATTATTGCCTTGAACCGACGATTAACACGCTGGAGACGAAAAACATCTTGTATACTCAAATAATGAATTATACGAAACATAACTTCTGTAGGTAACTGGCCAAATGACTTTGGAGCTGCTTGCAGGGCTTCCCATTGTTGTCGTAAAAATGTCTGTCGTAGGCGGGATCGAAGTGGATAGCTATGACTTTCACTCTCTGGACTTTGAATATTATTTACACAGTGAGGCACAGGACTATCGCAGATACTGTTGTGACGATTACCACAATTTTTATCACAAGTAGTAAACATCTCCGAAGAAGCTGAAGTAGGAATATTAATAATGTAAATGTGAGTTGGAATTAAAGTCAAGAAATTATTAATCAATAAAATGTCGGTATTTTAAAAACATTCCAGCTACGAAATATACATATGTGTGAGTAATTCAAAAACCCAGGCTTTTTAAGCACTGTAAGTGCAACCCATCATTGACAGCGCACATACAGTCTCTTTAAACACTAACGATAAGCGGGAAAAACTTGTGCTCAGTTAATGGATACATTTCTAGTAAAAATATGAATATCTGGCTACTCCAATATAAGCACGAGAAATTTATGAAAATTACTACGCATGGCCTTAGCCCAAGGAGCCGAGGTAACGACGGACAACTATTCAGATTCACTAAGGAAACAAGTTGTAGAAAAAAAATGGTAGGCGGGACGATGTCCAAGAAGAACGGTACTTCAATTACTTCTCCGGATAGACGACTGGGACGTTAGACGGAACACTTTGAGGGATAATCCAACTGACCTATGTTCAAACTAAGCTTGCCCAACATCCAACACCTATCTGAATAGGATGTAGACATCGGCTCTTCAACTTTAACTATTACAAAAGCAACTATCCGGTCAAATCTTGATCACAGTTCATATGTATTACAAAAGCTATCTGTAATCTAAAATGAGACAAGCAATGGGACCTGATGGAATGCCCACAAGAATATTCAAAGGAAGGAAGTGATGAACCATTGACTGGGTTAAATAAGGTATCAGATCATGCGTAGGGACTTGAATTAGTCCCACTGATTTCAAAAGAACCTCTTGCTGAACCACGTGTTTTGTTCTTATTTATGTCTGAATAGAAATTATTCATGAATTAGTCTCATTCGACTGGTTATCCCAGTTTATGACAAAGGTCATAAGTTTCCTTGCTTGACTAACATAATAATCTAAAATCCTAGGTCCAATAACCATGCATAGACTAAGCATTGCTCATGAGAAACAAATCCGGAAAATTCGGATAGGCTTAGGGCCAGGACGAGGATGTATTGATGTTTTCACCCTTTGACAGATTCTGGAACAAGAGCATACTTACCGGCATCCAACACTTGCCACATTTCTTGACCTGCAGGCGTTTGACTCCACAGACTGAGACGCTGTGAAAATGTCTGACAATGGGAATAGTGCCAACAACGTATGTTTTGCCAAGCATGGTACTCTACTCGAACTTAAGCAGTCGTATAACAGCCTAAAGAGAGTTGTCATCTCAAGTGCTGACAATCAGGTGCCCGTCAGCGATGCCTATAGTCCTCATTTTTGTTTAATTTTGTCATAGATGTACTAATGGATGTGATCTTGGTCGACTTTAGTGACTCAGTAATTTGTTATCAGGGTACAGAATGGTCAACTCAGAGTATGCAGATGATACTGTCTTTCTAGGTAAAGATACCGACGAAGTAGTCTTCTGAATACCCCTAACAAATTCAAGATGATGTCGCAGGACTGGTGAGCACCAACTCCTAGTTTGAGGCAAGGAGTGGAGCAAGTGAGTAATGTTGAACACTACTTATTTGGGAAGTTCCACCAGCCACAATGAACTGATTGCTGAAGAAATATCAGCATCGCGACACAAGGCCTACGCGTTGTCTGCCAACTTAAATAGTTTGTGGTGTAGATGTGATATCCGGTTATCGATGAAACGACGTCTGTACTGTGCAGCAGTTACCTCTACGCTTCTTAATGGATGCGACACAAGGCTAATGAAAATGGCTAGTTGTCTCTGACCACAGATGTCTCTGTACTCTCTCCCATGTTAAGGGGTATAATATGGTGATTAATATTCAGGTTAGGTATAGGAGGGAACCAATCGATGGGAATGCGAAGCCATATCAGTTGAGATGCGTGTGCAAGACAGGCCGACACCTTCGTCGAGTACTGTTAGCTGATATAAGATTGAGTTGCAAAAGAATTTAAACATGGCATTAATCCATAAATCTTCTAACTGCTAGTTTTAGCCAGTCACGTTGGGGGGGGGAGAGGTTGTAGACACTTTGGATGGCTAGGGTACTCAAGAAGCTTAGAATCAATGGCTGGAGACTTTTGATGATACGGCTCAAAATTTTTCTCAATGACATCGATATGGATCGACTCTTTCTCAACCTACAGATCTAACAAATCCTCATTACTCTCCACATCTTGCGTGCGTTGGTGGCACAGTGGTTGGGACTCTCGCCGGCCATGCACATGGTCCAGGGTTCGAACCCCTGCCGGCGCACACCCGATATCTATGGTCGGCCTGTATATTTGGGCTACCGATATCCATGCTGAAAATTCCATACTTGTACTGAAAATACGGTGTGGCATCAAGCTGTAATCAAAATCAAAAAAATATAAAGAAATACATTTCCTTTCATTTAAGTTCTTTTAAATTTCCTTCTCTACCTGTGTGATGTATGGTATGTGACAACTTGCACTGCTGCATTTCTTTGCAAAGTTCAACGTTGAAAGTTCGGTCATTTGGTCAGTTATATGACTTAAAATGAGCTGGTATGTTTTAAAGCTATTGATAAGCTGTACTAAAGACTCACTAAATATTTCTGTAAACAGAAATAATACTCACTTAAGAATAAAAAGTAAAATAATAGACAAAAGACACAGCAAGGACTGCGAAGCTTGACCGTTGCAGCATAAGCACCTGCTCGCAGTCATATTATGAAGTAGGACCGGTTGACTCTAGAATCAAGTATAGTTGGATGGAAAGACTGGAAGCTAAATCTTCGCCAGATCAACATACACATGCATTAAAAGTGACTGGGCAACAGTAAAGAATAGACACCAACTTCAGACGACCTTGAAACAGCCAATCAGATTCTTCTAGGTGAAAAGTGGTACTGAATTTACGAAGAAGCGTATCTATGATATATGCAATAAAAATGAATCACATAGGGTATATATCCTGAATATGCTGCAAAAGCTGGTCCCAGATTCTCAAAGAAGTGGTTATAGACATATCAAACCAATGTATTTTCTATTTCTCCAGCTGTAGCAGATACTGGTTGCTTATACGCAATATATTACTAAGTTAGAGCTTTGATTTCGAGGAGAAAGTGTCTAAAAAATCACCAGTTATGTACGACTTACCAAATTACACAGATTTCCTCATATAGGAGTGGTTGCATCTGGATGTATAACCATCAATAGCCCGGCAATACTTTTCCAGAGATTTTATCCCTCCATATATGCATGCTTTATTCCTCCCTATCAACATATTATCTACAGAGAAGTCAAAAACCAAATTTAGGCGACACTTTCAAAGAGGATCATGACTGGGAACCATTTGTCATGCTGAGCTATCTGATTGATCAAATTAAGGTCGTTTGACTTTGGTGTCTATTGTTTACTCTTGCCATGCAAGCAACAGTCAAAATTTGTGATCATTCTTATACAATAAAAAGACAAATTATGCTTAGAATGTCATCAAGCAAAAAATATCATCCGATCATCCACTAAAACAATCTGACACGGGAAGTGTCTAGGTATACTATGTGAAGAGATGAACTGAACAAAGTAAATGGAGCCTCGTGAAATGTTTTAAAATGCACCAAATGAATCATATCTTACCAGGGGAAAAGGAAGGAACATTTTCTGAGAACACTTCTTCACATTTTTTAACCACTTGATGTTGATTCGACAGAAAGTTGTTGCTACTGTCACCAGCTGCACTGAATACTGAAGGTGGTTCGGACTTTATAACAACACCGTTATGTTGAGATTCCCGAGAGAAATCGGCCAATTTTATAGCTGGATGAAAATCATGTTGTGAAAGTTGATCTGTTGAACTACAAGGAACCGGTTTCACCTCATCCTCATCACAGTTTCGATTGGTGCATCTGTGAGAGCAACAAGAATGACAGGTTGCTAACATCATATCATCATTGCTAGAAAAATCACGGTAATTATTTGCATTAGTGAAAGCTGACGATTTTCGAAAGCAAGATGCACTTTGATGACAGTCAGCAGTTCCAGGCAACGTTTGGTTAGAAAGAATTTCAAGTGGAGAACTGCACTTAACCAGTGCAACAAAGCAATTTGATGTAGACGATTCTAGAAATTCATTTGGTTTGTTTGTATTAGAGCTTCGTGTTGACAAATTCCCGGACCTTTCAGAATTGCATTCAGTTAATTTAGGTGATATGGAATCCAAAACAGAAGCTTTGGCTGAATTAGAATACGTACTTTCCTGTGATTCAGACTCAACAAGTTCCAATGGCTGACTGCATGAAGTACCAACCAAGCTAGATTTACCTGTTCTATTTCTACAAGGACTATGATGAAGTGAAGAATTTGCCTGATGTATATTTGAGTCTTGACCCTCATTTTCATACTCTCCCTCAGAGCTGCCAGCCTCATCTGTTGCAACCGCACTTGGAGTTAAAACCATCCTCTCACTTTGCATTAAGATCCCGTCCATATTAACATGGGAATCTGAATCTCGCATTGTGCTTGAATGAGAATTCAACAATCTATTCCCAACGGATGAATTTTCGTGATTTAACGATTCATGATCAGTTGTGGATGTAGGTTCAACGGCCAAATTTAATTCCGGTTGGACAAGCTTTTCGGAGAACATGCTTGATGCAAATGAATTCTCATCTTCAGCTGCATCAGGACGATCAACAGGAATATCTTTCTGGTTAACATAATTACTCAGGCCAATGTCAGAATTATGGAACAGCATATTTGCTGAATCCAAATAAGGAGAATTCGGTGAAGACGGTAAAGAAGTATGCTGCTCATTACATTGAGATTTACACTGATGCACTGGGCTCATATGCACCTTCTTCGGACGACAAGATGCTTCGTCTACAGTACTTCCACTGGTGAAACGTGTGCGTCTTTGGCGTGGTCGACTAGACATATCACAGACAGACTTTCTACTGGCACTTATATAACTCTGTGAACTGAATTTATGTGTGCATGTATGGATTCACTATACTGTTTGTGCGCGAATGTTTTGGGAAACGCCAACAATTTTCACAACTGGAAAAAAAAAGTATAATGAATGAATGAAATGCATGGTATGGTATGGTATGCAGTGGTTACGTGAAAATGATAATATTTCATCAAGCAGAATTCCAAGGCAGTCTTGTTTGCTTAATATAAAGACTTTAAGTTCCTACGTGGTCTGTATAGTGATTTCCTGGTCGACACCAGGCATGAAATTGTGATTAATCAGGAAAACAAAACATTACGTAAACTCTCGCAGATGCATACAAATATGGATGTTTGAAATACGATTATTCCCTGATCGACGTCTAAATTGACGATAAAAGTAGTGGCTGAGTTCAGTGATAATTACACGAAACGAGGAATCCCCTTTTTGGTGAAATAATGTTAGTTTGTCTTCCACTTTATTTTAAATCCGAAGCAACACACCTGAGTTTTAAACAGGAATTAGCTTGTCTTTCAAAAACTCTAAACTTGACGTCAACCTGCTTTCACAGTGACAGATTTCGGAGACTCGCGAAGTCAATTACTAATGCACAACTACTTGTGAAATGATTAGACAACCTTCACTCAGTCGATCACTATCTTTTCCGTCCACATACATTTTAATACTGAGTATATGGTGAACTGATATTATGAAGACCTTCACAACGTATATTTAACTGAGTATCTCTCGAGAAGTAGGAAGGCTTGTGTCCTTACATCGTAGCCTTCAGACTTGATGTAAACTAAAAGGAATTGGAGAGACTGTAGTGAATATAACTTTCCTCAGCTACATTCTACTACAGTATGTATAAGTGGTCGCATCATCAAAACTTGGCTGTTGTAGATGAAAATCTCATTTCCATACCATATATTAGCTGTATTATTATATGTTTACGAAAAAACACCCTATAATTAACCAATGCACTTCAATAAGTCTTGTAATTTTATCACTTCAGATCCCTCCAGTGACAGTGACCAAAATTGATTGCACAGTATTCATGTCAGCTACTGACGATATTGACCGGGTATCCATCTTATCTTTGATTTTTCGTTCCCCTACATAATTCCGGAAAGTCTTGAAGCTTTGAAAAAGTTCGCCTGAGTCAGAAGTTTTTCCCCCATTACCGTTACACGTGTCAAGAAAACATTGGGGGCCAAGACGGAAAGATTTAAATGCAAACGCAAAAGTGCCTAACTTACTATGTACAGTTACCAGAATTAATAAGTAAGAACCACATATAGCAACACCACTTTCAGGCTTATCGTGCCATCTTGTGGGACAATGGCAACTATTTGAAAAGCGAGACGTGCCAGTAAATAAACTAAAACAATCACACAATTTCACTCTTTGGCGAATAGTGAAATTTGTTCTTAACCTAAAATCTTATACTAATCATGAATTAGTCGGCTTATACGTATCTTCCTCTTTTCTGTGTCAGTTCCTTATCAGATTACACTCACAGTTTGTAACGACACTTTGTTCTCAAAATTCGTTTTAATGGTTCGATTTTCCACAATGTGAATGACACGTCCGTAATGCTACGGAAATTCTTCCGGACCCAGCTGTATTGAAAGTCAACCTTTTAATAAATCGACATGTGATGAATCAACTTATTCCTTGTGAGATTATCATAACTGTTCATTCTGTAATAAAATAAAAACCACCATAACGCCACTAAATAAGTTTCTTTTCTTCCTTTTTCAGAAAGAAACGCTGACGTGGCTTCACTGGAACAGGAGGAAGATCGTTTGGCCAGACTTGTTATAAGTGACGATAATTAGCTTGTACCCGGTTAATTCAATCCTGCCGTGGTTGAAATAAAGATCTCCCTCTCGTCTCTTCGTCTTCTTCCTTTTCCGTTGGTTGTGGTTGTTGCTTGCGTGTAACAATTGGTGTCGGAGGTGTTTTATCTACACTAGCATGGCAAATCGACCAGAGGATCAGCCTCCCAAATTGTTTCCTCAGGATAGTGCTCCATCATTGCCTAGTGTACCACCGCTCTCCTGCCCACCACTGCTGCAACCATCATCAGATTACCCTCGCTGGAAGATACGAATGCAGGCGTTCCTGGACGTTGCCCCAGCAGCCCACCATTTCGTCCACGTCCTCAACAACCTATCAGACGATGCATTCGCCCGTGCAGACGCTGCTGGGTTCAGTAAAACCAACTCCATGCAAAAGAACTGGGAGATCCTAGATCAATGTTTTGACCTGAGGCTGGGTTCTCAACATACCCTATTACAACTGCTCTCCCGCCGACAACTACCAGGAGAGAGTTTCCTGGAACATCTTAACGCTCTCCAGCTACTGGCAGCTGGACTTGACAATCACGATAGCCCTGGCGGCACAGATCAATTGGTATGCACCCGTTTCGTCGAGGGAATGTTGCCTGGTGACCTGCGCACAAACCTCCGACGTCAGCTCCCAGCCAACACGTCCCACTTACAGAAGATTATTCTCCGTTTCACGGACGCCGAGAATGACCACGTGTCGACACCCAGCACCTCTATGTGCCCAGTATCAACAAAACCCAATGCACCCCCCGTTCGCCGCAACCGTTCACGAAGCCAACAACGCTCAAATGGGGACGCTACCCGTCGCTGCTACTACTGTCAACGCTTCGGGAAGAAGGCCCTTAAGTGTGGCCACAATCGCCAGCCGGACCGCAGTAAGTCCCCTGTTTTTAATTTGTCTACATACTCTTGTAACGGGCAACCTTTGATGTTATGGGGACATATTAATGGAGTGCCCTCTAAAGTCCTCTTAGATACTGGTGCGTCAGTCTCTCTAGTAAAGGCTTCCTTCCTTCGACGCTTGCCCCAGTACTCAGCCCCAGTAACCACTCACACCATCTTGACGACAGCTAACGGTGCCAAACTGGAGGCCCGATCGGCTACCGATCTACAGCTGCGTCTTGGAGACCTAGATGTGCGCCATCAGTTTCTTATCTGCGCCCAGATTACATGGGACCTCATCCTAGGAGTAGACTTCTTGAGGTCACACCACACTCTTATAGATATCACCAATTCTCGAGTCACAATTGATTATGTCACTATACCCGTATATAGCCCTCAGCAACCGCGGTCTGCTGCGTCAAAGTTGTCAGTGTCTACGATCATAAATCAAGTTTCAGTTGACCCATCTGCTCCTGTCCCCCTCCGAGGGCAAATGCTGAAATTGATTGATGAATACGCTGATGTGTTCGATGATGGGGGTAATCCAGGACGCACTGGTGTTGTTCAGCACCGTATCAATACAGGCAGTCATCCGCCTGTGCGTCAACCACCCCGACGCATCCCCGTACATTACCAGCCCCAACTGGACGCCCTGATACGAGATATGTTGGATAAAAAGATCATCGTACCATCATCCTCCCCATGGGCGTCACCCATCGTTTTAGTCAAGAAGAAGGACGGCTCCCTCCGAATGTGTATTGATTACCGTAAACTGAATGCTGTAACCAGACGGGACGCTTTTCCGATTCCCCGTATCGATGCAACCCTTGACGCACTTGCTGGCTCACAGTGGTTCTCCACGTTAGATCTGGCGTCAGGCTACTGGCAGGTAGAGGTGCACCCTGACGATTGCCCGAAGACGGCCTTTATCCTCCCGAGCGGTCTCTACGAATTCCGAACAATGCCCTTCGGACTATGCAATGCCCCGGCCACCTTTCAACGCTTGATGCAAATAGTCCTTGACAGGTTAGTCCCGCAAAAATGTCTCATCTATCTTGACGACATTATTGTACATGGGAAGTCCCCAGAGGAGCACATGGATAACCTACGGGTTGTTCTTACAAGGTTTAGAACGAATGGGTTAAAGTTGAAGCCGGCTAAATGTTCATTCTTACAGAGGGCAGTCACATTTTTGGGGCATCGAATTTCACCAGATGGTATTCAAACAGATCCAGAGAAAACGCGCATCATCTCAGAATGGCCTACACCCCAGTCCTGCAAAGACGTTCGTAGCTTCCTAGGGTTGGCTTCGTACTACCGACGTTTCGTGCCTGGGTTTGCCACCCTCGCCTCGCCCCTGCATCGCCTGACAGAAAAGGGCCGTAAATTCCTGTGGACCAATGAATGCCAACATGCGTTCGACAAGCTAAAGACGAACTTGACATCAACCCCCATCCTTGCGTTCCCAGACACGTCTCCGTCATCTGGTTCATTTATTCTGGACACGGACGCAAGCGCTAACGCTATAGGGGCTGTCCTTTCCCAAGTGGCAACCGATGGTCGAGAACGCGTTATTGCATATGCCAGTCGCAAGCTAGATAAAAGGGAAACACGGTACTCGACAACCCGAAGGGAGATGCTTGCCCTTGTGTATTTCCTGAGACACTTTAGACACTATCTACTTGGGCGCCCCTTTCGAGTACGCACTGACCATCGTGCACTACAATGGCTGCAAACATTTCATGAACCTGAAGGTCAGGTGGCTCGATGGCAAGAGCGGTTACAGGAGTTCGAGTTTACTTGTGAGTATCGTCCGGGGCCTCGGCATGCTAACGCTGATGCCCTCTCCCGATTGCCGAGGTACGACTCAGTGAATGCTCTACTTAATACGGGTATCGATGTAGATTGGGCTGCACTGCAGGCGGCTGATGCAGATATTCAACCTGTTTACTCGCGACAGCTCCATGGGAACGATAAACCATCGAATAAGGAACTACGGAGTCTGTCAGATACAACACGATGCATCTGTGGCAAGTGGGGCGTGTTACGACTAATCGACGATGTTTTGTATATAGTGGAACCATCCTCGTCACCCCGTCTCCTTGTTCCCCGGTTGAAAGTTCCGGAGGTGATTCACCTTGTGCACTACCAGCTGGGTCACGCTGGCCAACAAAAAACCGAACACGCCGTCCGTCAACGTTTTTGGTGGCCACTTCTTCATCACGACGTTACTGAATTCTGCCGCAACTGTGCTACATGTGCACAAATCAAACAGCCCAAACTACCTTCCCGAGCACCGTTAGTACCTATGCTTACGGAATCTTTCAACCACCGAGTTGGGGTAGATGTCATGGGGCCAATAACAACGTCGAGACGTGGTAATCGATACATACTCGTCATGGTCGACTACTTCACGAAGTGGTGCGAAGCTGTCCCCCTGCAACAACAAGATGCCTTGACGATTGGTCGCGCGTTCATAGACAACTGGGTGTCCCGCTTTGGTGCCCCTCTTTATCTACACTCTGACCAGGGCGCCGCATTCGAGGGTCATCTTATCGCTCACATCTGCAATACTTTTGGCATCCGGAAGACTCGTACTACATCATACCACCCACAGGGTAATGGACTCGTCGAACGCACCAACCGAACTATTAAGAATCTTCTCCGTGCCTTTTTGCACAATACACCGGAGAACACCTGGGACGATGTCCTACCTCAGTGTCTACTAGCGTATCGCTCCTCCATCCATTCATCCACGGGATTTTCCCCAGCTTTGCTTCTGTTTGGACATGAACTCCGTCTCCCAGTTGAGATTCAAACGCCGCTGCTACCGTATGAGAAAATCGACTGCATCCCCTATGTTCGACATCTTCGCCACCACCTGGGGATAGCCTACAACCTGGCACGTCGTCATCTCCAGTCTTCGTCAGAACATCAGAAGAGTATTTATGACCGCTTCGCCCGCGGCCCCACCTATTCGCCTGGTGACTATGTCTGGCTTCATCGCCCATCGGTACCTGCCGGTTCGTGTCCTAAATTCTACGCCCCGTGGCAAGGACCTTATGAGATCGTACAGCACCGACCTCCCACAACGTATGTCCTGCGGAATTTGCAACGTCCTCAAGATAACCTTATATCCGCACACTATAACCAGCTGAAACCACATCACCCAGCAGCCGCCCAGAAGCCGTCGCCATCCCCGCAACCACCGCCCGCTACTAGCTTCGTCGAGGTACCAACAGATGGGGGCAGTGCATATCCTATACCACCGCCAGGCACTGAGGACAGTGCCTCCAGAAGGGGGGAGGCGATGTAATAAAATAAAAACCACCATAACGCCACTAAATAAGTTTCTTTTCTTCCTTTTTCAGAAAGAAACGCTGACGTGGCTTCACTGGAACAGGAGGAAGATCGTTTGGCCAGACTTGTTATAAGTGACGATAATTAGCTTGTACCCGGTTAATTCAATCCTGCCGTGGTTGAAATAAAGATCTCCCTCTCGTCTCTTCGTCTTCTTCCTTTTCCGTTGGTTGTGGTTGTTGCTTGCGTGTAACAATTCTATAGCGGTAAATAATTCTCCAAATTTATTGACCACAGTACTCATCACTAAACACTGGATGCTGACCCTCACTGT